ACTCTTGATGAATGTCTCTTTTCTTTTATGGACACTGAGAGCATTTGCACCAAGACAAATTCCTTGTGTGTCCAATCACACCTGGCCAAGAATTCATTCATTCGTTTATTACTTTACCTTCAGAGCTGGTGAGTAAAACAGCTGAGGTGTGACAATCCACTCTGCCCTGCCTATCAGCTGAGCTACAATCAATGGAAATGTAGGACAGGAAAGGGGAGGGGTGTGCGGGCAGGGCCAATTGCTGACCAGCACAACCGGATCGCTAGAACCGGTGTGAATCGGCAGCATCCCACCTCTGGCCATGACACTGAAACTTCCTGACCCAACCCTCGAACCAGCACTGTCCCATCATCCACGCAATTTCTGACAAGGCTCTCTCCTTGATGGGTTTCCACCCGTCGCTTCTTGTCCTGCCTTCAGGTGCTTGGGGGAATAGGTCGACCCCCCCTCTTCTCTGGGGCAGCACCTAAAGTACTGAAAAACTGCTATATCACCCCTAGTTCTTATCTTCCTTAGGCAATAGTTGCCTCCATAGTGGAAAAGATGGTTATCTTCATCCCATAGCGATATACCAAAGGACGACTGCAGCACAATGCTGGGGTCCAGGTGATAATGCCCAGAAACTCCCTCTGCCAAACCAGAGGTCAATCCAGTGACCAATCAGGATTACAGATGTGACCACGTGACATGAACTACATCTCCCAAGAGGCATTAACTATATTTCCCAAGAAGAAAACCTGCTACATTCAAAATCCACCCGCGCCTTCTACAACTTTGTTAACACCAAACTTAAAGACTCAAGAACCATCCCACCCCTAAAAGGACCAAATGGGAAAGACTGCAACGATGAAGCTGTTAAGGCCAATCTCTTCAACACATTCTTCAGTTCAGTCTTTGTAAACAGCAATGGTTCATGTCCCACATTTCCTAGTCGTACCACAACTATATTGTCTAGAAGTATTTCACAAGGAGAGTACTACACTCCTCAGCTCACAACAGAATACCCTACACCACCAGGCTTGAGATTTTGGGCTTGGACAACCTTGAACTACACCGCCTATGGTTAGACTTAAGCATAGCACACAAAATTATCTGCTACAATGTCCTACCAGTCAATGATTACTTCAGCTTCAACCACAACAACACAAGAGCACACAACAGATACAAATTCAATGTAAACCGCTTCAAACTCGTTTACAGAAAGTACGACTTCAGCAACAGAATGGTGAATGCCTGGAATACACTACCTGACTCTGTTGTTACATCCTCTAACCCCCACTCCTTTAACCTCAAACTAACCGCTATTGACCTCACCTCATTCCTAAGAGGTCTGTAAGGGGCATGCATAAGCGCACCATCATGCCTCCCATCCCTGTCCTATTGTCCCCATTTATTCGTACCTATTTCCTGTATTCTTACTCATGTTTATACTTATACTTATTACCTTGTAAGCGATTGACAAATAAATAAATAAACAAACAAACAAACCTGCAAATCAGAGGTGGTGCTCAGCAGGTTCTGATCAGTTCTGGAGAACCAGTAGTGGAAATTTTGAGTAATTCAGACAACCAGCAAATCCCACCTCTGACTGGAGATTTTACAATATCCTTCCCCTGCCACATCCACTGAGCCACGCCCACAGAACCAGTAATGAAAACATTTGAATCCCACCACTGCTGCAAATGTATAGTAACAATAAACCTTGGTTCACAGCTAAACTCAAGCAGCTACGTCGTTCCAAAGTGGAAGTCTACAGAAAAGGTGACAGAATGTCTCTTCCGGTTTGCAAGGCTTCAGCGGCGGCAGGAATCCATGATCGTGCGCGGTTCCCGCTGCACTCGCCGCCGAAGTGCCTCCGATCCAGTTGGATTTGGAGGATATGGTTGCCCCGTAGAGGCAACCAAAGATAGGGGAGATCCGGGTAGGGGCTTGTGGGTATCACAAACCCCCTCCCCAGCCAGCTAAACTCCCCTTTCCCAAGGCGGTGGAGCGGCGGTCAGCAATGTCCACCACAAAGAAGCCTGCAGCCGGACAAGATTGTGCAGGAGGAAGTTGGAGAAAGTGAAAGTTTCTGGCTGAACCGGGACAACGAGGAACCTTTAAATATCCTGGAAATTTAATCTCTTGAATGATACATTGTTTCCCAAGAAGACTGCAAAGCGGCGGAAGAAAGTCTGAAAGGGAAAGTTTTTTTCTCACACTCTCCTTCCCTACGGAAATAGCAGATGGAAATCTGAAAAACCTGCTTGGGCACAGAAGGTAATTAAACTTGAAAATTAAAGCCAAGGGGATAAAAGATTTCTGAACACTGGAATTAAAAATTAAAATATTTTTGCTATAAGTGAGAAGGAAGAGGTAAAGAACTTATTTTAAGATTGTACTGGAGGAGACTGCTTGGAGTTTATAAGACCAGAAATAAATGGCAATAAGACTTCTAAAAATTATTTTGGAACTGTGTAATTGAATTCTACCCCAGGAAGAGAAAATATAAAAAGAAGAAAGTGCTAATGAAATAGTTTGTCTTGATTTGGACTGCTTTGGGACTTTGGGACTTTTGGGAACTATTTCTTGAAAGAATAAAAACATTTGGGTTGTGTTTTTTTTAAAAAATGGCATTATCTGTTGAAGAATTGCAAATGGAATTTCAAAAGCTAAAAGAAGAGGAACAAGGCAGCAACGGCTCTTCTGGATCTATTTTTCACTTTTTAGAAATGGCGATTTCCACCTACCAGGAAATACAACAACAAGAAAGCTGGGATAGAGAAGAAGAAGCCATCTTTAATGGACAAATAATCTTAGTTGAGGAAGAAAAGAGAAAGGGGGGAAAGAAAATGGAGAATTTAGAACTTAAAAAAGCAACCAAGAAAGGGAAAAATAAGGTGAAAAATCGATACAATGTCAGAAAGCAACAGAAAAGAGGAATACAACAGAGAGGGGAGACTAAGAGAGCGGAGATTGAGAGATGGGGGGGGCAAGGCTAGAATTGATAAGGAAGGGGGAAAAAGTCATAAAGGTTTAAAACAAGATGTTAAAAACAGGTTTTTTTCAGAGACAAAGGGTAAAATATAATCCTTAAAAAAAGAGAGATTCTGCAAAAGTACATAAGACTGTATTCTAGATATTAGTATTTGAAATCGAGTTAGAAAACTGAAATATTATATGAGTTAATAATATATTAAAGGGAATGTATAAAAATGTTTAAGATTTAACAATAGAGTTTAATTTCCTATGGAACATTGTTTTTACTATATTATAAGCCTATTTTTCTTTTTTTGTCTCAATATTCTAAAATGTAGTATTTGGAATGTACTAAGCAGAATCAGTATGGAAAGTATGTATTTTTAAGTGTTAAATTTAGGGGAAAGATAAAAAGTTGTCATACTTCAACCAGTGATTACAGGAGAAATATTGTTATTAGAAAGAAAAGATAAATAGATAATTGAAAGAGAACAGACAAAAGATGCAAGTCTAACTATCTAAATTGAGATGAAATGAATAAAATAGAATTAAGAAAGTGAATAGAAGAGAGAAAATATATAGAAAATATAGAATGTTAAATAAGATATGAAATAGTATATTAGGTGAGCATGAATTTGATTTATGTCTGTATAAAAAGATGTAATCCGGGGTTAAGCCGCTTTCCAAAAAGAAGTTTTATGTATTTATGTTTTGTGTTTTGTTTGTCTATGTTTGAATTAATAAAACTCTAGAAGAATGTTGGAAGAGAATAACGAAATTGCAAATAAGACAGATGGTTACAATGAATATATACAAATCAAGGTAAAAGAAATATAATTGAATAGAAGGAAAGGGAGAAATAGAGAGAAGTTGGGAAAAGATATGAAGTTGAATATATAAGATAAATATGCATATTAAACTGTGCTTGTATG